TATCCTCCACCCCCTCGTTTTTCTCCATTGACGTCGCGCGCTCTTCCCCGCTGAGCCGCGGGGATCAGGCAGGCAGGGTCGGCGTCCCTTTTGCAAGCTATGGGGTCGCGTTCTGATTTGGGGCCTTCGGGCCACTTTCGCAGCCTTCTTGGAATCCTTTCGGGAGCCTTCTTGGGGCTCTTTCATGGCCCCCATGGGGGCTTCGCGAGGGCCCCGGACAACCTTAGCAGGGCTGCGAGATTATCCAAGTTGACCCCGATATTGCCAGAGCTCAAACTGCACGGCACACATTGGCATTGGGCTCGCTCAGGGCCCATTTGGCGCCCTCTTGGAGCCCGCAAGTTTCAACCAGAAGGGATCTGAGTCGGATGCGGTGCGAGCTATCGTGTCTGTCCGCGCCTCCTCTCTGGCCATATTAACGAGCTCATGGAGGGCGCCCCTGCAGAGCGTTTCCCCACCCCCTCAAAGTGAAACGAGTTACGTGCCCCAAAGCGGCTCTCCTCCTTGGCAGCTAGGTGGGGTCGGCGGCGAACGTGTCTAACAAGATACGTGGCCGTCGCCTCCGCGCAGCGTCGATATTCACGGCCAGTCGGCCAGCCCCACCCCGCAGCCAGATAGGATTTGTCGCTACAGTTTTTGACAACATGCGCGGTCGCCCCCCCTGGGGAGCATCGACTTTCCGGCCGGTCGGCCGGAGACACTGGGCAGCTGGGAGGGATTCGCCACGACAGTTTCTGCCGGGATACGTGGCCACCACGCCCGTGCAGCGTCGATTTCCTGGCCACTCGTCCGGGCGCGTTTCGGACAGCATCGGGCGAGGTAGACGGTGATCTCTTTGAAAACCAGACGGGGCGGACACTACATTTGCACCCTTGCCGAGCTGCGCATCTGGAATACGCACGCGTGCGACGGGTGCTTTTTGAATTCCACATAGCGCGGATGCCGCCGCGCCCGCGCGTTGAGTTGCGCAGCAAAATTATCTTCATATTTTGAATGTGGTGAGCAAAGTAGGGGGCTGGCTTTCACCTTGGGCAATGGGTGCCCCAAGTCCGCGCGTCCTGATGTGGGGCTTTGTTCGGCTTCCCTGGGAGCCCTTTGCGAGCCCTCTCGGGACCGGCCCAAGGCCCGCTCGAATTGCCAAGGAGGCCCCAGGAGGGCCCCCAAGAGGTCTCCAAGTGGACCCCGAGTGGACCCCAAATCACGGTGCACCGTGCACCCAGATCTCCCTGGCGCCGCCCTCCCCCTGTCCTCATCTTGCACCTCCTTCTCGTCCTCCTCCTCCTCCCCACCTCGTCCTCCTCCTCCTCCTGGCACCCCTGAGTTTCGTCGGAACCCATTGGCCACATGGCTGTTTCCGTGCTGTACCAGGCACCCGCGGTTCGTAGAAGCACTTCTAGGCATAGTGATTTGATGTCATCTGTACAGGACCTCCGCGACCAGATCCACTACATCGAGTGTGTCCCCATCGGTGTGCGGCGCGTCGTGGCGCAGACGATCGGTGCCCCTGCCGATGTCGTCTGGCACGAGTGCGCGAGTGCTGCAGTGGTCACCTCGGGGCACGCGCATCAGCATTTCCGCGAAACCTTGCAGCCCCCCTGGGACTTGCTCGGCGGGGGCGTGAGGCAGAAGGTCGTGGATTTCGCGGCCGGGCCTCGCCTTGCCGATGGAGTTGCGGGACAGATCCACGATCTCATCATCGTCGGCTTCCCCGAAGAGCAGGTGGTTGCTGCGATCAACATGACGGGGCAAGCGTCATGGGTCATGGAGCGTCACGTGCACTGAACAGGGCCGCGCCGCGGCGATCACGATGATCCGCTTGCGCAAACAGTATTCGGCGGACACCTCGATGAGGCGAAGCTTCCTTGCCCAGTGCAAGGTGCTCGTTGCAGTGCCTCCCGAAAGGCGTCGAGTTCAACGTTTTTGCGAACAGCTGCAGCGCCTGGACAAAAAAGGGTTTTCGCACCTCAGAGATCGGGAGAAGTTTTGCGGGACTCTATGCGACTTGGCCGCGGCCAGGCGGGAGCACGGGGAACGGCTGCCCGTTCGCGTGAACAAAAAGATCTTCAAGACCCGCGGGCGCGCGCGGGAAGAGCTCGAACCAGTCGGGAGGGCTCGCTACGAGGCCGAGGCCGTGCAAGAGCAGATCGATAAACAGGGGCAGAAAGCCGAGCAGCGCCAAGTGCTCGTTGCCCGCTTGAGCGCCAGCAGGGAAGCTTTACCTCGGGCCAGCTCTGGCGGCGACGGGCCATTTCGAATGACCGCCGCTGCCTTTTCGCCCCGAGAGCGCCGATGGGCCGAGAACCGCTGGGAGAGCGAGGCCCTTCGCGGCGTTGCGCCCGGGCGCCGAGGGGCGGAGTAGGTCTCGCGCACAATGGCGAAGCTCTCGCCCGAGACATCTTCGGACAGCGGAAATTGCGCCAGCCAGTCTTCTGGGCGCAGGTGGTTGAGCGAGCGCCATCTTTCGCCTCTCCCTCTTCCTTTTTTTTGGGGGGGGAGGGCGGGCTCGCCCCCTCCTCGGGATCTGGAGGGGCGCGGTCGCAAGGCGCCGGGGCGTCCAGGATGGCCCAATCTGGTTGCAAGAGGGCCTCGGAGAGCCAGAGACGACTTCAACATGGCTCAAGAGTGCACGAGACGCCCCAGGGCCCCCAACGTGCTCCGAGCGGCCCCAAGACTGGCCCAAACACAACTCCAAGACGCCGCGGCGCCCCCCGAGGAGGCGCCCATGATCCCGGAATTTTCGGAAACAACCTAGGGCAAATCAATAAAATCTGATGCCTGGTCATTTTCGCCCCCGACGGCCTTCCGGCCATTTTCGCCCCCGATGGCCTTCCGAGGCCTCGAGGCAGCTCCAAGAGGCCCCATGAGGGCCTTGAGAGAGGCCCGACAGGGCCCCAAGGCGGCCCCGATAGCGCCCCCAGGGCGCTCGCTCCAAGAGGGGCCTGGGTGGCGATTTTGCGGGTGCCCGGGGGGGGGGGGGGGGGGTGGCGCCCGGCCCCCGCGCCCGCCCCCCCCCCCCCCCCGATTGATCGATCTCCTCCAAGATGGTTCCAAGAGCGCCCCTGAAGCTCCCGAGGGCGCCCCGAGAGGGCACCAGGAGGCGCCCGGACGGGCGCCCGAGAGATATCCCAATAGGCTCCAAGAGGCATCCAAGATACCTGTAGCGCTTGTGATTGCCCTCCTCATCCTGATCCTCCTTCCTCCTCCTACTTCTCTTCCTGTTTCTCCTCCTCCTTTTCGCCGTCATCGCCCTTCTCCTCCTCCTCTTTCTCCTCCCCTCCTCCTTCCTCCTCTCCTCCTCCTCCTCCTCCTCCCTCCTCCTCCCTCTCTCCCTCCCTCCCCCCCCCCCCCCTCCCTCCTCCTCCTCCATCTTCCTTCTCCCTCCTCCCTCCCCTCCCTCCTCCATTCTTTTTCCTCCTTTTTCCTCCCTCTCCCCTCCTCCCTCCTACTTCCCCCCCCTCATATCTCTTCCTCCTCCCTCCTCCCCTCCGCGTTCGTTGCCCCCTCCTCCCTCCCCCCTCCCTCCTCCCCCCCTCCTCCTCCCCCTCCTTCCCCCCTCCTCCTCCTCCTCCTCCTCCTCCTTTTCTCGTCGTCTTATTAATCTTCCGCCCCCCCGGCCCCTCGCCCATCCATCCAGCCTCGCTCCCTTCCCCCCTCCTTCGCGCAGTTCGGAGTTCTACGTCTGTGCTCGCGCGCTCCCCTGGCCACCGCAACTCGCCCGGGCATCGTCTCTGGCCGGGCTGGCGGGGGCGCGCGAAGCGATTATAATATTTTGGTCGAGCGGCGACGGCGACGGCGACGACGGCGACCTCGGCGCGGAAGCCTGGCGCGCGAGAGGGGCGATTGGCGGCGTCGCCCCTCGCGGGCCCCCGGCGGGGCCCCGCCCGCCCCCGCCCCCGCCCGCCCCCCGAGAGGATCGAGACCAGTGGATCAAACAGCGGTGGCGGAATCGCGCGGCAGCGCCACAGGATGCATCGGCAACGGGGCCGCCGAGCTGAGTGGCTGCACGCGGAGTGAGTGCCACTGCGCGTCCGTTTTTTTTTTGCCCCGCCGCGCGCGCCCCGCCTGCCGCCGGCGCGAAGGGCGCCGCTGCCCTTGCGGCGGTTGCCACCTGGCACGGTGCTGCTGGCGCTGGCGGCTGGCATCGGCTGCTGGCTCGAGCCGCTGGCTGCGGCGGCTGGCGACGGCTGCTGGCTGGGGCCGTCGGCGTCGGCTGCCGGCGTCGGCTGCTGGTTGGAGCTGCTGGCGTCAGCTGCTGGCGTCGGTTGCTGGCTGGAACTGCTAGCGTTGGCTGCTGGCGTCGGCTGCAGGCTGGAGCTGCTGGCGCGGCTGCTGGCGTCGGCTGCTGGCTCTGCGGCGGCTCGTGGACCTGCTGCTCGTAGACCTCTTGCTCTGGCATGTCTGGATCCACGGGCGTCTCCGCCAGGAACTCAGGCCGCCACGGCGCGTGCTGCGCGCCGCTGAACTCCGCGCTGTCGCGCTCGAACTCCAGCATACACTGGCGGCGCCATTCAACGTGAACTGGCCCTCCAGCCGAAGGCAACCGACGGCGCGTGGGGCGGCAGCGCATGGCGCTGGCTGTCGTCGGCCATCGCGCTGAGCCCGCCCCAGCGCGCGCCCGCTCTGGCGCGCGCCGCTGAAGGCGAGCCGCGCGGCTGCGGAAAAAGGAAGAGGATGCGGCGACAGGGGGCGCTGCAAGTTGGCCCCGACACTTGCGCGCGCCCAAAATGGGAGAGGGAGGGGCGGGGATGGGCGGGGGAGGAATGGTGGGAATCGAGGGGGGGGGGGGGGGGGCAGGAAGGAGGAGGGAGAAGGGAGACGGGTGGAAAGAAGAAAGAGAGGAGGAGGAGGAGGAACAGGATGGCGAGGAGGGGGTCGTAAGGACAGCCCGCCCCAAGACAACCCGAGACAGTCCATCTTCCGCCCCATTCAAGGACATCATGCAAACAAGCCCGAAGCATCCAAAACTGCGAAAACATGCGCAACGCGCGACCGCCAAATTCTGCGCCCAAGAATCGGCGGGACTATTGGGCACATTTCCTCCTCCTCCACCCTCTTCCCGAGGCTTCTGCCCCCCCCTGCGCAGGCCAGACTTTAGGCAAAGTGTTGCGAATTCGTGCAGAGTCAGCAGAAAATCGCTCGACGCACATCGCAGCCCAAGAAGTGATGGAACCTACATGAGATCAGAGTGAGGGGGTCGAGCGGTCAGTCATTGTCCCTGGGTGCGCGGCTGAATAGAAAACTCGTGGTGGCATTTCAGTTTATTGCGTTGTTGTTGTTAGTTTTGTTGTTTGCTGTCGTCGTCCCACCCGCGACCCCGCGACCCACCCCGCGACCCACCTCGCGACCCCACCTGCGATCCACCCCGCGACCCACCCCGCGACCCACCCGCGACCCAACCCGCGACCCACTCACGACCCACCCCGCGATCAACCCGCGACACACCCGCGACCCACCCGCGACCCACCCTCGACCCACCCGCGACCCACCTCGCGACCCACCGGCGACCGACCCCGCGACCCATCCGTGACCCATCCGCGACCCACCCGCGACCCACCCCGCGACCCACCCGCGACCCGCGCCGCGACCCACCTTCAAAGGAGGAAACACCATGCGGACCCAACTATTGACATTTATTAAACGGCCCTGGGCGTTGACTAAACAGCCCTGCCTTGTTCGATTCATTCTTCGTGTGTTCTTACTAACGGCTTCGCTTGTCGGGGTGATTATTATGGGGTTGATTTGCTGCACTTTACACCCGCGACCCACCCGCGACCCAACCCGCGACCCACTCGCGACCCACCCGCGACCCATTTGCGACCCACCTGCGACCCACCCGCGACCCACTTACATGGGTTTAACGAAAAAATCGGCGCCTGCGGCGGGTTCGTTGTATGATTTGTGAAACTTTGGCGCCTGCGGCGGGCTTCCCCAGAGTTTCGTACATTGCCGACGTCTCCACCGCCCCTCATTCTTATCCGTTTATGCGGGGTGCTACGTATTATTTGGCTTCACTCAAAATCAGAAATCATAAGAATATAACGAACTAAGGTGCCTATGTCAAGTCTGTTCTATCCATATTATACCAAGTGCCGATGAATGTAGCAGGCGGGACAAAGTATCGCCATTGGACCCGACGGAATTGATCTTTTGACGATCGGGGAAAAACCTTTGCGCGCGCCGACGCCGCACGAACCGACCGTGCCCCCCTCCGCGCGCCGCCAACCCCGCGCCTTCCCTCCGGGCCCCCCTTCGCCGGCAGCACCCGACTGCCCAGAGGGGCTTCTCCGCAGGAGCACGAGTCGTGGGCAGCTGGTCCTGCGCCCGCCGTGGCCACTGGGGGGCCAGCCTGGGGGCCCCCGGGGGCCGTCCACGGGACGATGCGGGATGAGAACGGAGGTTCTCAGCTGATCCTTTCTGATCCTTACTGTGGAAAGAGCGTGTTCTACCGCTGCTGGCGGAAAACCGGGGGGGGTCACTGCCGGTTCGAACCCCTCCCCCCCCCCCCTCCCGAAAACCGGGGGGGGGTCACTGCCGGTTCGAACCCCTCCCCCCCCCCCCAGTTCATCATGAAAAGGGGGGGGGGTCACTACCGGTTCGAACCCCCCCCCCCCTCGAAAACCGAGTGGGGGTGCGGACAGTGGTGGGGACGGTGTTGGTGGGGACAGTGGTGAGGGGACAGCGGGACAGTGGTGGGGACAGTGGGACAGTGGGACAGTAGAGGGCCGGTAGTGGTGGGGACAGTGGTGGGACAATGGTGGGAACAGGGGGGACAGTGGACAGTGGTGGGGACGGTGGTGGTGGGGACAGTGGTGTGGGCACAGTGGGAATGAGGTGGAAACAGTGGGACAGTGGAGGGTACAATGGTGGTGGGGACAGTGGTGAAGGCGGTGGCGAGGACGGCGGTGGGACAATGGGACAGAGGTACAGTGGGGACAGTGGTGGGGACAGTGGGGACAGTGGTGGGAACAGTGGGACAGCTCAGTGGGACAGCGGCGGAGTCAGTGGGACAGTGGGGACAGTGGGGATAGTCGGGCAGTGGTTGGGGCCGTGGAGACAGTGGGGAGAGTGGAACCGTGGTGGGAACAGTGGTGGGGACAGTGGGGACAGTGCGACAATGGTGGGGGCACTGGTGGGGACACAGTGGGGACAGTGGTGGTGAGGACAGTGGTGCTGGGAACAACAGTGGGGGATGTGATGCGGACGGTGGTAGGGACCGGGAGTCGTTTGCTGGCGGTGAGTGGGGGTGGGTGGGAAGGGGTTCGAACCGGTAGTGATCCCCCTCCGGTTTTGGAGGGGGGGGGGGGGGGTTCGAACCGGTAGTGACCCCCCCGGTTTTCCGGATCCGGAGGGGGGGGGGGGGTTCGAACCGGTAGTGACCCCCCCGGTATTCGAGGGGGAGTTTTGCCGAGGGAGGGGGGGGGGGTCCAGCAGGAAGGGGGGGGGATTTTCGGAGGGGGGGGGGAGCGACCCCCGGGGTCCGGAGGAAAAGGTGGGCAATTTTCCGCAGTAAAGCGGCGGTGGATCATGCTCTCTCTTACTGTGGAATCCGAGCTGCCTTCTTTTCTCACTTCCCGCTGTCGCTCGCCGCCGATTAATGACGTGCCACTGGCGCCCTTCGCCTCCCGGGCGCCTGCGCCGAGGCCGCGTTGCTGCGCCAAGGTTCCCAGCATATTCCCCGGGATCCCTACTCTTCCTGCGGCCCTTTGCGGGACTTCCCGGGACCGCGTAGTTCGCCATCCAGCCCATCCCAATCCCCATCATCCCACCACCCCAATTGGTGACATGCCCTTCGAAATTCGAAGAAAACAGCCTATCAGGGGGTAAATCGGCCAGTGTGGCCCAGGCGACTCCCGTGGGGATAGGGATCGTTTAAACGATGTTCAGTATTGAACAATTCAGGACGCCGCATGTCTGGGAACGGCCCGTGGAGGCCGGGATCAGCATCGGGGAGAAGTGCCAGGGTTCGAAGCAATCGGATCGTCGGAGTTCCTCCAGGGCACCTTTCCGGGGTCCGAGAAGTTTTCCGAGAGGGCCTCCACGGGGGCCGTCTTTCGCGAGGGCCTCCACGGATCTGGAGCGAAGAATTGCGCCAGATAGACCCCGTGAGGGAACTGGGGACCGATCTTGAGCGGATTTGTTCTTCGCCCCCCGTCTTGACCGATGTTCTCGGGGCCCACCCAGCTCAGACCCCGTGGCCGCCTCCCCGCCCGAGAATCCAGGCCTCCCACATGGGGTCCGAGCAGATGGGGGGTCGCAGGATCGCGCCGCATCGCCGATGCATCGGCGATGCAAGTCGATGTGGAGCCGGATTTCCTCCGCGCCGGCGTCGCCGATGTACCGCCGACGTCGCCGATGCATATCCGATGCGCCTGGGATGTATCGGCGATGCGGCGCGATCCTACGACCCCATCTACTCGGACCCCATCAGACGCCTCTAGATCCGGCAGCCTGCCGTGCCCGCGCCCGTCGACGCCCCGTGTACCATACTGTTCCGGTCTGCACGCTGTGTGGCGCGCCCCCCGACGGCCGCGGGCCGAATTTCTCCGCCGCGCCCAGCGGCCACGCGGATGCTGGCACAGCTCGCAGCGGGCGGGAGGGACGGGAGGCCCCTGCTGCTGCTGCTGCCGCTCCTGCATTCTCTTCTCCACCTCCTCCTCCTTCTCCTCTTCCTCCTTCCCTTGCCCTCAGCAGGGCGGCCCCTGAGTTTAACTTCGTTAGTGTCAGTGCTTTCATCGATCTCAGGAAGTTTTATGACATGGTCTCTCACAAGGAGCTCCTTGGGGCCGCTGGGGACACAATTTTCCTTTCAGGCTCCTTAAACATCTTTGTGCCCTGTACAGGTGCCCCCGTATAGCCACCTACCAGAACTCGATATCACATGTGATACATGCGAACGGGACGATGCTGGCGGGTTGCTCGTGTGCCACGGGGCTTGTTAAACTTATGACAATTGCGGTACTGAGGCATGTCGGGGATAGGTGTAACACTGTACGTATCAAATACCTAATTGACGACATTCGCCTGCATGGCGTGGGAGGTCCACTGATTGTCGCCAGGGAGATGAGTTTCGCCTTTAAGGAAACTGTTGGCCTCCTGCAGGCCAGAGGGCTACCTCTGTCTTGAGATAAGATGGGCTTCTTGTGCAGTGACGGTGGTGTGTTTGGGCTGATAGAGGATGAGATCGCGGATTTGCAGCCGCCTGGGATACCCTTAACCGGTAGAGACGCTTACCAAGGAGATCTGCGTTGCGATGCTTGTGGCGGACGATATAAGCGCTTGGGCACACAATTGTCGAGGATACGTGATGCCACGAGGAAAGTGGACAGGATTCAGGCCCTGCACGGCCTAGCCAGGCAGAAGGCAGCAGTTCACAGAGGAGGAGTATTATCAAAGGCCCTCTGGGGCTGCTCTATTGCGGGGGCGCCTAACAGCAAGATTCAGCAGCTGCGAATGTCCTTCTTGAAAGCTGGTTCCAGATTCAAGCCTGGGTCCTCCGTGGGTTTATCGCTGATGTGCGCGGATCGTGGCTGGCAGAATGGCCCGCTGGTTATCGCCACTGCATATGCGATCCACACTCACATTGGAAAGAGCGTATTCTACCGCTGCTGGCGGAAAACCGGGGGGTGCCACTCGGGGTTCCTAACTTGTCCCCCCCCCCGACCCCTCGAAAACCGGCGGGGGGTCACTACCGGTTCGAACCCCCCCCCCCCAGTCCACCATGAAAAGGGGGGGGGGCACTGCCGGTTCGAACCCCCCCCCCCCGCGAAAACCGGGGGGGGTCACTCCCGGTTCGAACCCCCCCCCTCGAAAACCGGGGGGTGTCACGAACCCCCCCCCCCGCCGGCAAACGATGCCCGCTCCTCGGGACAGTTGGAGAATGGTGGGGATGTTGGGACAGTGGTGGGAACGGTGGTAGTGGGGACAGTGGTGCGGGGACAGCGGGACAGTGGTGGGGACAGTGGGACAGTGGTGGGGACGGTAGTGGTGGGGACACTGGTGAAGGTGGTGGTGCGAACAGTGGCGGGACAGTAGTACAGTTGGGAAAGTGGTGGGGACACTGGGGACAGTGGGACAGTGATGGGGACAGCGGCGGGGACAGTGGGACAGTGGTGGGAACAGCGGGGACAGTGGGACAGCGCTGGGGACCGTGGGGAAAGTGGAGAGAGTGGGATTGTGGTAGGACAGTGGCGGGGAGAGTGGGGACAGTGAGACCCTGGTGGGGGCACCGGCGGGGACAGCTGGGACAATGGTGGGAAGAGTGGGGACAGTGGGACAGTGGTGGGGACGGTGGTGGTGGTGGGGGGACGGTGGGAACGTGGTGGAAACAGTGGGACAGAGGAGGGTACAGTGGTGGTGGCGACAGTGGTGAGGGCTGTGGCGAGGACGGCGGTGGGACAATGGAACAGAGGTGCAGTAGGGACAGTGGTGGGGACACTGGGGACAGTGACAGTGGTGGGAACTGGGACAGCTCAGTGGGACAGCGGCGGGGACAGTGGGACAGTGGGGACAGTGGGACAGTGGTCGGGGCCGTGGAGAACGTGGGGAATGGAACCGTGGTGGGAACAGTGGTGGGGACAATTGGGACAGTGCGACAGTGGTGGGGGCACTGGTGAGGACAGTGGTGACGGTGGTGGGAATAGTGGGGACAGTGGTGGTGAGGACAGTGGTGCTGGGGACAGCAGCAGTGGGGGATGTGGTGCGGACGGTGGTAGGGACTCGAGGGGGGTGGGGGTTCGAACCGGTAGTGACCCCCCCTTCTTATCATGATGGACTTGGGGGGGGGGTCGAACCGGTAGTGAACCCCCCCCCCGGTTTTTCCGAAGGGGGGGGGTTCGAACTGGTAGTGACCCTTCTTTAGCTTTCTGGGGGGGGGGGAGGGGTTCGAGCTGGTAGTGGCCCTCCTCGGTTTTCCGGAGGGGGGGGGTCTGAACCGGCAGTGACTTCCCCCGGTTTTCCGGAAGGGGGGGGAAGGGGAAGTTAGGGGAGAGGGGGGGATTTTGCCAGGGCGAACGAGGGGGGTCCAGCAAGGGGGGGATTTTCGGAAGGGGGGGGAACCCCGGGTTCTGGAGGAAGAAGGGGCGCATTTTCCAGAGTAAAGCGGCGGTGGATCACGCTCGCTCTCACATTGTGATATTCACTTCGCACGTTGTTTTTACGTATAATATTGGTGTAATATACATAATTTTTATATGTGTATATATATATATATACACATATAGATGTTGTCAGGGTTTTGATGTGCAAAGTTGAACTCATGTTGGGAGACCCTCAAGCGTGGGTCAAGTGCAGGGACCCCGTTGCCGCACTGGTTCTGAGTATGCACAGGATTCGCTGGAAGCTCAAGGAGCCAGGGGTCTTGCAGGATGACCACGGTACTGTCTGGTACTTATTGCGCTATTCTGCTGCCTACAGTGAGGAGGCAGATCGACACGGATGCTCTGAATCAACTGCAAAGAGCAGGGGCCACGCGTACAGGTCCCATTGCATGGGGTCCCATCCATGCGGCCCTCGTGCGGAAAGCGATCATTCCTCATGGGCGACGTTCCTTCAAACAGAGTCGTCACAGGAGGGCATTGGGCGCAAGTTCGGGTAGCTCGAGCTTTCTGTGGCGAGTCGCCGCTTTGCGCCAGATGCCAAGCGGCCCCAAGCACCCTCTTCCACCGCTTCTTTGTTTGCGATGCGTTTGCCGCCCAGCGCCGAACCCTGATCACTCCCATTTTGCAGCAGCCTTCGGCCTGATGCACAGCACGGAGGACAGGCAAGAGCGATTCGCCCGTGGGCTGCTGCCTAGTTTCGGACAGGCTTTTGCAGGCCTGGCAGATCTGCTGATACGGATTTTATTGACAAGGACGGTGCCGGCATCACGCCCACTACTGGCGGCACAGTGTTTGTGGATGGGAGTGCCTTTGATGTTATGTACCCAGAACTGCGATCGGCAGGTTGGCCAGTTGTGCTGTGCAACGAGCAGAGGCAGAGGGCGGGACGTTTGTACGGCGCTGTACCTCGTCATGAGGGCCGTTGCCAAGTTGCACGAGGTGGCGAGGACCATGCTATCATGATGGCGAGCAGGTTGATCCTAGGGAGCTACGCCGTCAAGTCAGACTGCAAGGGTTCGTTCCGCTGTTGCCATCGTCTCGAATTAGCAGTGGGCCACAGCAATCTACGTGCTCATTTGTAGAGACGAACGGCTGGCGCGGAGGATTTCTGCAGGTCTGGAGTCCACCACGTCAAGGCGCATACCTCGATGGTGGACGTCAGAGATGGCGCCGTTTCCTCAGCTTGATCGGGATGGGAATGCCGAAGCTGACGACCTGGCGAAGGCTGGAGCGTCTTTCCATCGAGCGGACCGCATCTTGTCAAGCCAGCGAGAGGTACACATCGGCTCCACTCGGAACTGCTGCGGTACACTGCTAAGTTCGAGGTGTGGTATTATATGAGCAGGGCTGGATCGGGAGAGATTGCTGTTTTCCTGCAGCGGATGAAGACAGTGCGATCACCCCTGTCCAAGACGCGGCGGCTCGTGAGTCCCTCTTACCATGGCCGTGGCTCATCAACGGATAGTTTTGCTGGAGTGCCCAGCGGTTGGAGAGGATTGTTCTTTGGTTTTCTGCGCTGCCTGTTGTGAGCGCACGAACGCAGGGAGTCGGAATCGCCGCGGGCTGGATCAGATGCGTTGTGGCAGGCGTCGTGGGGGCCGGAGGTTGTCGGAGAACTCGCGGCATTTCGAGAACCTCATGCACCCTCAGTCGGCTTTGATATACAACACATGTCACGTTGTTGTGTTCCAGGAGGCCATGCGAAAGTACTCGAAGGGCCATTTGTCGTGCTAGAGCCTGGAATGGCCATCTTTGGGGTACTTTCCTTTCGAGACCTCGGGGGGGGGGGTTCGCGCGGGGCCTTCGAGGCCCCTGGACACGGCAGCGTTGCTGCTGGATTGCGGTCTGGAGTTCGATGCGTTATTGGCTCTTGGTGAGCCCGTTCGTGCCGGCGCTGAAGATGACAATGGGGAAGAGGAGCTGTTTCCCGAGTGGTAGGCCCTTGGTGGCTTCGCTCGGTTCTGCTTAGAATTTCATTCGGCCCTGGCCCTGTGGGATGCCTGGGGCCCATATTCGCCGGGGGCTCGGCATCTCTGTGGACCTCAGTCACGGGGCGGCGCCTGTTTTAGGCGGCCCGTAACCCAGGGGAGCGCGCGTCCCGGCCCTGGGTGTGGCACATGCCGTTCGCGCGCGCCGTCTTCGATGGCTTCGGCGTCATCGCGGGGCCGTTTCGCCCCGCGGCCGCCGCCGCCGCTGGCGCCATTGGTCTCTGCCCCCCTCCTCGGCGGTCTGCTGCCCCCCCCCGCCCCTTGCGGCGACGCCGGGGCAGCTTGCTGAGCGGGGGTGGTGGTCTCTAGCGGCGCTCTCTCCCGAACATACCTCCCCTCGGCTCTGGCGCGCTCCTCCGCCCCTCCCCCCCTCCTTCCCCCCCCCCCTCCCCTCCCTCCCTCGTCGACGCCCTCCCCCCCCCTTTCTCCTCCCCCTCCTCTTCCCCCTCCTCCTCGCACCCCCCCCCCCCCTCATCCTGGGCGAGGAGGCGGGCGGCCGGGGGAAATCCAGGTCCCAGTTCAGATTCAACGAGACCCACCACCAGTTGGCAGTGACCCCTGGCAGCGCTCTCAAGAGGGAGGGGGCCGCGAGGAAGATGGGCACCGCTCCGAGAAGCGCCCTGGAGAGGGAGCTGGGCAGAACGCCGGGCTAACTGAACAGGCCGCGAGCGAGCTG